ATAGCCCAAAGGTCTTTAGGAGTTCCTTTCGTTCTTGTAGGGGCTTCTTCCTAAAGCCGATACATTTTTTTTGAGGGGATGTGGCTTCTTGTGGATAGGACATAATCGGTTTGGGTCTCTGCTCTTGCCGCTCTTGTTTGAAGCGGGAGCTGAGGTGGGAGCGGGAATAATGTCTGTCTTCTTAACAGACATGGGACCTCTGCGGTTCCTGTAGCTGATATGTAGGTCGTCACCTTTAAGTGAGGGAGTACTGAACTCACCGAATGCAAAACTAGAATCGTTCTTGTTGTCAGCAATGTTCCTGACAAAATTGCAGAAGTAGGAGAACGGGGGAAAGGAAACCTTGTTTTCCCGTTTGTATGATGACCCAATTTGGATCCACTTTTCTCGTAGGCCATACGGGAAGCTTGTAAATAATAGGGTTAACTCCTCGAGCAGTGTCCAGGTAACTGAGGCCAGGTAGTTTAGGGTCGGTTTTGGCGAGCTGGACTTCGAGAAGAAGGTCACTGAGTCTCTGGAACTCTTTATTATCGTTACTTGATATCGTTGGGAAATTTTCCAATCATTTGAGCAATGCATTCTCTGTGGCTTCAGGACTACCATAACTCTGTTCTAGACGCTCCCATGCAGCAGTGAGACCTGCAGTTGGATTGTCGATGTAGACTGACCTGAGGCTCTTGACACGTTCTGTAGATTGTGGGCCAAGCCATCTGATCAGCAGATCCAGCTCCTCAGCAGCAGTAATGCCAAGATCACCTATAGTAGTTTTGAAGGCAGCTTTCCAGCTTCTGTAATTTTCAGGATGGTCATCAAAGCTTACTAGGCCTGACTTGGTGAGCTCACGTCGAAGTATATACTTTACGAACTCTGCTGTATCAGTTGCCTCTGACTTTACGTAGGAGGTTGCTGGTTGAATGTTGCGGATCGCACTGTTTATGGTATTGTTGTAAAAAGACGTGGGAAGATATGGTGCAGCAAGGGCGTTCAGCTGAGTTGTTGTGTTAAAGTCTGGAACGGTACTGTTAGCAGGAGGTTGGTGACTTGCTTGCAGATTGGTGTTCCATTTTATCCCAAATCTGCTTCAAACTGGTTGATAGTTCAGTTCTCATGGATTCATAGTTCTCTTTAACCTTCCAAGTGGGTTTCACAGAGCATTTAACCAATGCACTGGGCTCTGGGTCCTCATCCTGGCTTTATCCATGTGGTGCATGCTGTGGTGTTTCATCACATACTGAGCCTTTTCCACTCATGATGGCCTGAAGTACACAGGCTTGGCTGTAGCAGTGAAGTGTGTCTGTATACTGTGTGGGGCTGTAACAAGCTGTGCTGGGGTTGTATGCAGACCTCTCCTACAATACACACAGTTACACTTCACTATGTTCTGTCCTGTGACGCAGCAATCTCTGTACAAGCTGCTGGATACGTTCTTTTATTATTCTGGAACGGCTACAAAGGCTATGAATGTGGTTTTAAGGAGCACATGGCGCTCATTGCCCTGATGAGATTATCCATACCAAATCACCTTCCCAGATAGTTTACTCAGTCACAACTCACATGAAAGAAGATCTGGCAATGTTTATTCGTCATATGATCTGTAGAATGTGCAGTTACAACAGGTAAAAGAACGATTCTTCCATACAGGTTAGGAGAGATACAACAAGTCACATTGAATGTACAGCATAAAAAAAGGGACTGATACAGAAAAGAGGGATTGGGTGTACCTGAAGCAGCATGCAAACTACGGAGTGACACAAGAGACAAACTTAAGATGAACATTAAAAAACAGTACATTACAATAGAACGATATCATGTAGGCCCTTACGATCTGCGGAAGACTTACGTCTATCTTCTGTCCGTAATCCCACCTCTGATGCTCGCCTTCAAGATTTCTCAAGGGCTGCACCGTTCCTGTGGAACTCGCTTCTTTTGTCCGTTAGATGCTCACCCAGTGTCCACTCCTTCAAAAAATCGTTAAAAACCCACTTCTTCATAAAAGCGTATCAATTAAACTGTTAATAGCTCCTGACTGATTCCTCTTCTGCAACTGTCACTAGTCTAGTACTATCCTTACCTTTTTGTGTCATTTTACCCCACTCCCTCTAGCATGTAAGCTCATTGAGCAGGGCCCTCAACCCCTCTGTTACTGTGTCACTATACCCCACTCCCTCTAACATGTAAACTCACTGAGCGGGGCCCTCAATCCTTCTGTTACTGTGTCACTATACTCCACTCCCTCTAACATGTAAATTCACTGAGCGGGGCCCTCAATCCCTCTGTTACTGTGTCACTATACCCCACTCCCTCTAACATGTAAATTCACTGAGCAGGGCCCTCAACCACTCTGTTCCTGTGTGTCCAACTTGTCTGGTTACAACTACATGTCTGTTCGTCCACCCATTGTAAAGCGCTGCGGAATTTGACGGCGCTCTATAAATATCATAATAATAATAATAATGTAACATGACAATTATGCTCAGCGATTGTTCTGCCACATTGCTAAATGCTAATTTAATGCAGAACTATCGAAATTAAACCACTTAATAATTCATTGAAAATCACTTGTGCGACTCCACACACAGCTGGCTGAAATACTCTATGTTTATGGAATATCTCAATTTAGTAGCACCTAATAAAAGTGGTTATTTAATTAAGAAATCTGCATTTTTATAAATCTAATAAGAGCCTCCCAGACTGTCAACCAACAGCCCGGGAGGTTGTCTTCCTCTTTCACTAGCTCCACTCTGTTAGAGCACGCTTCAACTGTCCCCCCCACCCCCCAAAGTCATAGTGAGCCAGTTATATCTTGACGTTCCAGGCTCCTGTGTCCTTCTGTTCCTGGTTCTCACCTGGCTCCTGCACCCTCCTTGCCATTCATGGACACTTGGCTAAGAACTGGAGGCTTTTCAATGAGAAGAATCTGATTGGTCATTTCCTCAGGACAATCCTAAAGCCTTTGCTTAGGGGAGGGGAAAGCTTGCAAAGGCTGTAGACCGAATGTCTGCAGCTTTTGCAAGCTTTTTTTTTTTGATATACCAATATGCAGGGCCATACCATTTCTCTGGCTCTGGTACGGGGCATTGCAATATCTAGGCCACATTATGCACATTATGAAAACACAGTCACTTACACACAGTCCTTACTGTGATGAGCACTGATAGGAGGAGGAGAGGAGGCCAGGGTCCGTGGTGTCTAGTCCCTAGAGCTCCACTGTAAATTTCGTGGTCTGAGTGCTGCACGGAGCCTCTGACGTCGCGGCTCTCGCAAGACTTACACTGGAGCTGTACGGCACAGAGGAGAAGGGAGCTGACAGGAGCTGCAGGAAAGGTAAGTTACAGCTTGCTGCCAGCCCCCAACAGGACCGCCGGGCTTGTAATGAGCCTGGCGGTCCTGGTCTGTATTATGGCAATGAAAGTTGCCATAATACAGACATTGGCTCAAGTATAAGACGAGTCAGGCTTTTTCAGCGCAAAATATGTGCCGAAAAACTCGTCTTATACTCGAGTATATACGGTACATATACAAACACGCTGTCACATACATAGACACACAGCAACATACGAAGTCACATAAATACATACATACAGGGTGTGACGGACCAGGTACCTCCGTCAATCGCTGCTTCCTAGTACTTGCAAGCACCATAAGCACTGCACTGGAACCCCGTAACCACCATAAACCCCACGAACCGCCGCAGCTTGGTTTGGGTCTCGTCGTCCTCCACCCACCCTGGACCCAAGAACATGATCCAGATTCCAGTGGATAGACCTCTTCTAGTCCAGAGAGCGAAGCAGGAACAGCTCTTATAAGAGCTAGTGATTATACTCAGGGTAGTATTGTGATATAGCAATCCCTAGAGTGAATGTAGTTCTCCAATCCCCCAAACATGAGCCAAGATTTCATGAAGGGGTAAATAAATCTGTCTTTAATGGGAGCCACACTGGCCTTTTATGACAATCCCCATGCAAGGGATTCGCCCACATGGACCTTGTTGGGGACTCCAACACAAAGACAAAGACCAATAAGAACAGTGATTAAATGCACGACACTCCCATAACAAACATACAATCCCTCCTCCTTGCCTGGGAGATAATTGAGTCAGATACTGTATTAACCCAGAAAAAACCAATTTTACAAAACCCCAAAAGTACCCCAAAACACATGATATCCCCACAACATATCCAAAAATCACCTAGATCAATTCAGGGGTTCAGGAATTTCTTGGAAGTCACATTTTGACCAACCGCAGGGTCCCATGCCCAAAACAGTTCCAGAGAATCAGGCTGTGCGGCCGGTCTACTTCGAGGATTACAAATAACGTTCAAAATACCGAACATAGCCGTTTGTGCCGTGGACAAAGTCAGTGTACGTCTCTTGTTCGTGACTTTATTCTTACTGAATGCAGTTTGACTCCCGTTCGAATAGCCGACCCTTAATGGAAGGTAAAAGTTTAGCCGTGTTCGCACTGTCAAGTGCCCGATTTCAGTTCCATGCACTTGACGACCAAACACCGCTGGATGAGTTCGACTAAACAGGATGGCTGCCGCCACGTGTTCGAATGCCTCTTCAAATGGCTTTGGGAGTACGAAGGGCCATTTTTGAAAGTTCAAATGGTTCCTGTTAGAAGTCCCAGAGGCACATAGAGTGTTGTTAAACAAAGTCTTCCACAGAGCCATAGTCACAGGGCGGGAGGCTGGCAAACAGGCCCCTCCAAAAGCCAGTGGTGAAGTTACTTTCGTCACACAGGGTTACTTACTAATATGAGAATTGACTGGAATTCAAAGTGTATCGCAAGTAGTTACCAAAAATAAACTTTATCTTATCTGGTTCTACATAGATCCCTGTTTGTGACTCTCTTTTTTTCCCTTTATTTTCTTTTTATTACAAAATGCTGCATAGTATGACAATAAATACATATATGTACTAGTTGTATATTGACTTTTGTACAGAATATTTGAATAGGACAATTAGCCAAAACAAAACAGACCAAACAGAGCGCACTAATGGTGGACTTGTTGTAGAATTATTAGGCCTCTATAAATTTGTAAGGCCCCTTTAAATCCTCTTGCTATACCTCTAAGAGGCCCCCATAGTTTTACAAGGAAGCTTTGTCTATAGAACATAGAATTTGCATGTCAGCAAGAAATAGCTTTGATAAAATGTGTATTTACTAAAATCCTTGAAACTTAACCTTGAGAAACTAACAAGTGCCAGCTACGCTCCAAATGGATAGCTGCCAAAAGGCCCCTCCCGTCGAGTGAGCTCCTCATTTTAACAAAATGGCGCTAAAACCTGTAGGAGTTAAGAAATTACGTAGATAGTGACCTAAGAATGGGGAGGGCATTTTACTAACATCTTAGCACCTAAGCCAATTAACAATGTCTATTTGTCTATATCTTGATTTTCTTCAATGATGTAATAATGCCTTTATAAGGGTCTGCGCACCCATTTTCTGTCAGAAGCCATTAAACTTCTCTGAAGTTCTTTCATTACCCTGAACCTTGTGTCTCAGTGTGAATTTACTTCTGCGTGCACGCAACTTTATTATCTTTAATTTGGACAGGAACAGATAGTCATTCAAACTAATTGGTTTGCAGTAAATTATCTAGAACAATTGGCGCTCTCAACGTGGGGCTCTGGGCTATGTCCAGTCTGGGCAGCTGTCCAAGAAGACGCTGGGGGGGCTGAATCCTGGGGGAAGGAAAAGAGCCTGATCACCTCTGAATACACGGTAGAGATTGCTGCAGCACCTAGCCGGTATGTTCCTACCCCTGTGATTGACCTGCCCCAGTGTCTGTGACTGCTGCCGAGAGGACATCAAAGTCAGGTAATAACTTGCCCAGAGTCTTTGTATTGTTAATGATACCTAGTTTACCTGCATGTTGACTATCTGTTGCCTGGGTGTGTTTGTATTGGTATGTGTTTAACTTAGTACCCGGGGAGTGTAAGTGCCTGTTTAACCCCTTTTAGGTACCACATACCTGTGGTAGTAAGGAAAAAGGGGGGTGGACCTGTGGAAGTTTTCCTGGGGGTCCTCTATTGCCTGTTTAACTCTTTTAGGAGCCACGTGGCTGTGGCTGTAAGGAAAAAGAGTAGGGGGGATCTGTGGAGGGCAGTAGACTCACTGCTTCCTGGGGATCCCCAGAGTGTCATTTTGACCGCTTAGCTAGCCTCATCAGACACTTCTTCTTGGTAAAATTCCAGCCTCGAGCGCTGAGGCAGGTAAGATTCCAATTCTTTAGGCTATACAGGATTCGGGTTGGAAGCTGTTGCTGTTTCCTGTGGCTGCTGGTAGTGAGACTTGCGGGTGGGTCCGCAACAGGGACACTACGAGGTTGAGGGAGGTGGCTTTTGGCCACACGAGTAAAGGCAAGGGATAACACTGTTGAACTTATTTGAACTGTGATGCATTCACTGTATTTACACTGAAATGTTATTGTCTTAATTGTCTGTCACACAGATTCCTGTTGTTGCAGTGTAAGCATGCAGAAGCCAAACACAGAAATATTGGACACAGGTCTTCAGGAAGTAACAGGCCTTTATTCACATTACCGATCGGGTCTCAGATGAACTCCTGTTCCAAAGGATCTGAGAGACATATACTTGTGGCTTGGGACTTTTGTTAACTGCATATCTCCTCCCATACAGTATAACCCCTCCTATATTCCTCAGACCAATCAATGAGCAGAATATAGACTTGTACATCTAGTCAAACCACATGGCTCATCCAAGACAAAGGAAATAAGTGCAATTTCAGTTCCTGCATTCCTGCACATGCTCAGTACACTGATGACAGTATCCTAGCTACATGTAGCTAACCAACTGACACAACATACACATATGCCACATGGAGATTTTGGCCTACTAAATTTTGACCATGCTGGAATCCCATCACATTCCCCCCTTTGATGCCTCTGATATAACATTATTCCAGATGCATCACCAATCACAGTTTTACCTACATCTCTCAAGTAGCCATTGAACCAGAGTAGACCTTGTAAGCATCTTAAAAACTCCTTCAACATTCTTCATCCTGAATATATTCTCTTCGGGCTAGGGGATCATATCTTCCAGACAGCCATTACATGAGCAGCTGTCTTTCTCTCTATAGTACTCTCTATAATACTATGTAGGGACCTTACCACTAGTGGAATTAGACAGGGCAGGAGGAGGCACAAAAAAATATAATAAATTCTACTCCTCCTACTAATGTCTTAATTCCTCCAAGCTGCTCATACCAACTTCCAAACCAAATACTTAGGTTATACCCATTCCAGACCTGAGTAGGTACATGCTCAAATTTAACCATGTGGCTTGTAAGTTCAGCCACTGCCTGCCCTTCATCATCTATGTGCAGACAACAGTTACTTTAGATTAAACTTTCCGCATACACCTCCTTCTACTGCTAGTAAGTAATCAAGGGCTAGCCTATTCTGGTATATGGCTGATCACATCTTGGTATTTTGCTTAGCTAGAAGATTAAGCACTTGAGCTGTGTCATTAGTAATAATCTCAACTACCGCCCGTAGTCTAATAATGCGGTTGAGCATATATAATCGGAGTTCTATATCCATAAGTGCCATCTTCTGCCCAAGTAGTAGGTCCATAATAATTAATAATACGTTGAGGGGGCCACTCATTATCTTCCCAGCTACCTATATTCAAGGATGCTCTCTCCCTTTTATGATTTACATCGTAAACCTTAACTCCCAAGGTCTCTCCTGTTTTGATTGGCAACAAGAAGAAGGATGGCTTTGGCATACCTAATACACATGCCCCTTCCCAATCTTGTGGTAACTCCGAATAAGTTTTCTTACCACAAATCCAGTATAAATTTGCTGGGGCTTTCCAACTAGATGTAGCCGATAAGTCAAACCATACCTCCTTTAAATGAGTGTAATTGGCAAACGGATTAGTAGGTTCCAAGACATTTGAAGCTGACCACCAAGTAGTATTTTTAGTATTAACATTATAGGCTTTTTGTCCCAAGCAAGTTAGCTCACCTACAGACGTGTTATACATTGTCCCTTTCCTGGCTATACAAACATGACCTATAATGGAGGTTTTTAACCACCATTCTGATTTACTTCTAGTACTTACTTGATGATCAGACTGGAAAGGTATCTGTTGTTCATATGTCTCAGAGCCAGGGTACCATATTTCCTTTGCCTCCCATGGCCACTGGTCTCCCATATTAGTACCTCCACACACATAGCAATTAGTTACATTAAGACTACCTGCAATACCCTCAGCCAAATCAATAAATAGGTTGTTAACATTATGGGGAATTTTATCCTCAATACTCATCTCCTCATAGAAGGAATGAGAAACCTGATGAGTTTGAGTTGCCACTGTCTCAGTTTCAAGACCTACATATATTATTGTTCCTGAATCTACTCCTGTGCCATATATTTGAAACCCAAACAGACCTCCAAACCTGTCAATAAAGTACTGCAGATTGGAAATGGTCATGTGAACGGGGTTACACACATAGTTTTACAGTATGGTGTGGTAGGCAACCTTTGGATAATCATATCTTGATCCACTGTTTTTCCCAGGTTGCCCAACCTACACATGACAAATAGGGGCAGAAGTTAGTCTCTATTTGGGCAATCAGGATCAGTAGATCTTTTACTGGGACATAAGTATTTATCATTAAACCCATAAGTTCGTTCCCATTTAAGATTACCACATACATTCCAAAGTCTTCCACTACCCGAAATCGCCTTACATGCATCAAATAGTAGAATACCTAATGTATGGTGCTTATCACAGTCCTATTTAGTAATGTCCCCTGGGAGTTACTATTCCGAATTACCAACCAAATTGTACGGGGTTGGAAATGGGGATCAAAACATTTAGACTCTCCTGATATTGGCTTGCACACACTATAATCAATATCCAAATATCTACATTTAGATACAGATCCCTTACATTCATACTGTGAGTGCCAGATGAGAGTTTGGGATATTTGGTTACCTGTTTTAGTAGTCTTAATGCAACTATCGCAATTCGGTATGTCTGTACTCCTACCTTCCTGAAAAATCATAAAAATACTAAGACACAATAAAACACATTATTCCTGAAATCCTCATTTTTCTTCGACCGTGCGATGGCCTCTCAGCTTCCCGATTGTGAGGGCTGCAAGGATGTTGTTCTTCTGATCCTCACTTTCCTTCACAGAGATCCCTTCAAGATACTCTGGCTATGACACGTAGGCAGGTGGTCAGGCTTTATTATGGCCGTCAAAACACCTACTTGATGATCTTTGTAGACTTTTAACTAGAATGTCTCGATATCCCCTCGTCACTCCGACTGAGTTGCACGCTTCAACCGGGTCCTGCAAGGATTCTCAGGATCTGGAGTAGCTTGCCAAGAGTCTGCTGCTGGTTTAACCTTAGAATGATGAATCCAAGGAGTCACTTCCGCCACCTTTACAGCTGTTGGGGTAGATAAAAGAACAACATACAAAGGCTAACAGGATACACCCCGAGCTTTAACTCAATATGTATTGGTGGGATATTACGAGCAAGTCCTGGAGGATTATTTTCTTCCCATACTCCTGGAATGTCAAATAAGGATTCATCACTCTTAGGGTTAACACTTGTCACTATGGAATAGAAGCGTCATTCTTCTTCCCTTGGCACCGATATCACCATTATGCCTGGTAATCCCTTAAACTTCAGAGATGTTAATCCATTAGGTAAAAGGTTATCTGAGCTTAAAGCTTTCGATAATAGATCTCGTCCTAAAAGTTGAATCGGACACTCTGGCATATATAGGAACTAATGCTTCACCACATGGCCTCCCAGAATACAAGTGCGACTCTTAAGAACCAGTCTAGCTGCACTTCTCCCAGTAGCTCCTATCACAGTTATAGTCTTCCCCGAAGGCGGAGCCACCATCTTAGTCACCACAGAATGTTCAGCACCTGTGTCGATCATGAAAGAACTTCTCTTTCCCCCTATTGCTACATCGACCATAGGCAACCAAGTGGGATGGAGCCCAGTCGGTATCAATAGTCTTCCATGATAGTGTCAGCCAGACCCACAAAATCTCTATCCTCTCTTTCTCTAGGTCTCTGCGTGGGTGGATAGTATCTGTCTCCTTGAACACTTCCTCTACTATTCCCACCATTCCCTCTAAAACTTCCTCTTACTCTATAACTACCACTATAACCTCCTCGTACCCTTCTCTCTCCTTGTCTATCACCTTCATACTACTCTCTCTGTGGACACTCACT